AAAAAGTTATGAAACACTTAAATAACATCACATTCGTTATATTCAGAATATTTCTAATGTAAACAGGTATTTTCAATACAAAAGCAACCACACCTGAGAATTCTAATATAATATTTTAAAAAAAAAAAAAAAGTGCAGAAAAAGCATGAATGGAAAGGAAAATATAAATTATTTTATGTATATAAATAAAGTACTTCTTTGTTATATTGGCCCCCAAGATTGAATCACCGATTAACCGAGATATCTTGCGAAAATCTGGCTGTGGGTTCTTGTACCTTGCCACGGGATCATATATTAGTGCTGGCCGCATATTCTTATACCACGCCACGCAATAGTATATTAGCAACTTGTTGCATTTTTGCTCTCACCATGTGTATATTATTTACTTTTTAATTTGCGTTATTTATTTGAAAATATATTCTAAAAATAAATTCGGTGGCACAACAGCCCTAGCGGACCACGGCCTGCAGTGCCCTGAAATCTGCTTTCTTGACCTTGGAAGTACATCGGCATATGCCATGGGCAAGTGGTCAGCTTGTCGCAGCCCCTCCCCCTGGTGTTTAGTTCACAAGTGAAATTGGTACTCATTTTATCGATCCATTCAGGAGATGAAGGGCTGAGTCAACCTTGCCCAGCCCTGGGATCGAACCCTGGGCCTGTGGTGCAGCTGCATGATGCACTAGCCATTTTAAAAATATATATATTCACTGGGTTTTTTTTAAGCCCAAACAAGGCAATTTGCCCAGGTTTCACTTTCCAAAAATAGCTATTTTAAAATAGCGTTTCACTTTTCAAATTGTTTCCACTGCGGCAGACTACACACCAGATGAGAAAATTGTGTGTGTGGTCCCCGCAAGTCGTTTTAAAGCTTTTATGTCACACGACAAGGTCCGATATCGTAGATGCAATATTTAATTCCAGATGACAGTACAATAGACATAGCTTCACAACAGTGTCAAGAGATTTTAGCGCTCTGCACTGTGTTTGCCATCACAGCTTCTTGATTTCAGAAAGGCTGACGAACCAATGATCTTGTTTTCCCTCTGATATCATTTCAGATACAATGAATCCGAAAATGTAAAGTACTACTGAAAAATTAAGGAGGCCTGGCTAATTCAGTCTGCAGCTTGTTTTAATTGGAACAACACGCCAGGATGCTCTTAAACTCTCAACTAGAGACACCCTCCTTTGCAGGTTCCTCACGTCATGAGAACTATACGTCACTACCATAATTGTTCTATGCTATCCATGAATTATACTTATATATATGTTTTTGAGTTCAGAAATGCAGTATTATGCAACCTCATAAATGTACTAATCACTCATGGAGTCCACCACCAAATGTCAGAGACCTGCATTATATTTAGAGACATTAAATAATGAAGAATCTCCATGAATGTATTACATTTCTCACATTGTGAAGGAACAATGGTACCCAGAGACATTAAATTTTGACTCAGGTATGGGCATCTGGAAGCCCAAATTTGAAATCTGTTTTCTATTTCATATTTTGTAAAACTTTTAACAAATGTTTGATCAACAAACTCAACAATTCCAAAGTGAGCAACAGCAACACTGTACAGAGGGGGGGGGGCATTTTCTCCAGCGCACGAGACTGTGTATCAGAAGTTCTAAAGATATGCTCTCTGTGATACTGCTGTTGAACTGAATTTTATGGTTTACGTGCGAAGAACATAATATTTAATAAATAAAAGTAAATAATGAGGTGGATGCCAAATCATTTTTTCAAAAAAGGGGTCTTTTACCTGACGACAAAAATGACCTCAACATCAAACTTTATGTTAATGATTAAAACATTTGGAGGTTCAATGATAAAAATTGCAAAATGAGGAAGGGCCTCCGTGATGGAAATTGGTTCAGTGATTCCAGAATATCACTCATCACTGATATTAAATTTACGTATTCTTGGGCAGAGGAGTTTACGTCCATTAAATGGTATAACAAACAGCTTAATATGTGTGAAAGTGCTGCAGTGACCGGAACAATTATATGCAGCAAAATAATAATGATAACGATGCTTAAAAATAATTTTTAGGAAATGGCATGTGAGTATTATTGTTATATATTGTGATGTTTGTTTTAATATTTGCTCTTCATGAGCTTGGCAAAATTATAGCAGAGATCTTGGTTCAAAAATTGCTCAAATCTAAAATTGCCAAATATGGTTGGAAGTCACTATAACAAAGTACCAAAAATCAATACATTGTGAAGCTTAAACCCTTTACTTTTCTCATGGAAATTTTCTGAACACCCAATATATAGCAAAGAAACAAACTATTTTATCATTTAAAAAAATACCAAAAATATAACACCCCGTTGTAATGAGGAACTGGACACAGGCTGATAAAAAGAAAAGGTGTAGAATGAAAACCAACTTGTTTCTGGCCTCAGACGAAAAATCCGTTCCATATATTTCAACCTAAATGGTTGAATTTAGTCAAATCTATTGCATTTAATTTAGATACTTTAGATTTTAACTACTAAGATAAAGATGATTTATTATAATAATCACACCACAAACCTAAAAAAAATTTCCAAGGAGACCACCTTAAGTTTCCAGACTTCCGACTTAATACAAAAAAGTTTTCATCGTTGTCCTCTTTTAATACTACTTTTAAAAAATCTGATGTGTACACCACGACTTCCTTGTACGGAATATTAAATTATACGCATTTTTTCTTGCATTTTGTTTAAACTTATTGGATTTAATTATATCTACTTCGCCGACAACGCATAAACCACAATTGAATAAGTGCATTCTTTAAAATTCACTCTATTTGTTTACCATAGCAACACTCTGGCACTAGGTTCACTTAACAGTATTATATTTCGTTCATATTATAAGTCAGAATGCACAAAATTTGTATCATTTAAAGAATTATCTAATCATTGCCACATGTTCTATTCAAGTACTATAATAAAGCTAGAACGATGTATAAAAGAAATTTAGCAAACCAAACAAAAAAGAAACAGTTTTTCACAGACGATTGAATATTTCTCATTCAATTAATTCAGTTCTCACTTCGCGACAAGGCAAAAATACATAAAAACTCAAAATATCTCTACTAAAAATTACTAATTATTAAAAATTAAGTAAATCTTAAACACTTATTTCCTCGAAAAAATTCCAGAAAGGATCAAGCATGATTTAAATAGCAGTAATAAATTAAGGCGTTTATCTTTGTTGTTGCGAAGCTACGTTTCTCTAGATTGGCAACAAATTCACTACTCAGCTGTTTCAAATGTAAACAAGCAATGGCCGCCATCAGAATAGGCTTAGCGGCACTTAACCCCTTTGAGCCGGGTAGCGAAAACGCGCGCTTATCGCGGAGGCCAGCAGTGTCTTCCGCGAGCATCTCTCCAGGGCCGGGGGCTTTTTTGCTACTAAGCCTAAATCCATGAAATTTCCGAAGTATCAACGCATTGTTTAATAATGCTCTATAGAGTATTTAAATGGCTTATGCTTTATAGATATTTTTATATATATACTTTAATTACCTTATTTCTTGTTTAAATGCATATTTTACACATTTTATTTTAATTACTCACCATTTTATGACTTTTAACATTATAATCTGAAAACTAAATATATTACTTAAAATTCTCTTTTCGTATGAAAAATTTTAAAACAGGGATCTACACACAGTCCTACGTTACATTCTTGAACTCGTAATAACTCATTTGCCGTTTTGGAGGATTTTTCCGGGAATGTGAACAAACGAAGCATCGTCGTCTCATTTTCTTATCAGTCTCTTCTGAACAAAGTTTTGGAAAATGTCTTTCAGTTAATCTTTCAGAATCAATATCTGAAATATTTTGCATCATTTCTGCTATTTCATGCTCTGTTAAACATTTTCGACGCTTCGACATTGAAACGGTAAAAACAGAAAGAATTCACGTCTAACAAGATCTAATTATTTTCTAAAAACTGAACTGTAAACCGAAATACTCAACGCTTTAGCGCATATAAAACTTCTACTTACAATAAACAACTACCACGTGCGAATAAAGTGCGATTTAAAGAGACGTCATAAATCACGCCATTCGGAAACATTTAGTTCCCCGTTTGTTTATATAATCAAAAACACGTGTATGTGAGTCATGCTTCTCTTATTTCAAGTAGAAGGTCTAATGCACATGTATCTGAAACCATATGGACATACAGTGCCATCTTGTGGCAGAAATTATAGTTTGAAAAACGTTCCAAGGTACTGGCACAAATACGTGACAGTCAGTAGAGAATGCAACAACGCTCTGGCACGCCTGCGTGTCGGCCGGTAGATAAGTGTGTTCGTTGCTGGCACGTATACGTGACAGTCAGCGCGAAGGGGTTAAACAACTTTTAAATTGTTGATAATTCTAAAAATATTGCATACAGATTTACTAAAGGCATAAAACCCTTAACCGGAAGATAAAAACACCATAATTCAATCATTTTTAAAGAAAAAAATGTACAATTTACAAACATATAAGAGTAAAGAACCTGAGATCACTGAGAAGGGTAACAGAGTAGATATATTTATACACGTTTGGCATGGCCAATTGAAACCAAAATACGAGGTGCACATCTACATGTTATAGTAGTCCTATATACAAAATTTCCACGTTCTGAGGCTACTCGTTTTTGAGTTATGCGAGATACGTACATACGTTTGTACAGACGCCCCGAAAAATTCTCTTCAGAATTCATTTTCAAGCAATTTTTTTAGTTTTTTTGGAGGTAAAGAGTCTTTTATTCTGTCCTTACGTACAGATATCACGCAAAAAATACGTTAAATTGCATTCGAAAGCGGTCCAAGTGGATATTTTCGTTGAAATATGCTGCCTGAAGCTTTTCACGATTACAATACTTCCTTTTTTCTTCGTACAAGGAAGTAAAAAGGCAGCATTTTTATTCCAAAATACACACAAATGCCAAGATTTTCAACATGTAATTACTTTTAATGCTATTTTTCCATGCAATTAATACATTTACTTACCTAACATGTGGTATCCCTACACCACCTTGAAGAATTTTATATAATTTACTTTCATATAATAGCTGTGGATGGCGAGCTTTAGTAGATTCCAATTTAACAGCAACCTCCTGGAAAAGAAAATATTTTATGTAGTTCATGAAAAATTAATTCCCCTGGGTTTTCAAAGATCTAGATTATTACATTTTTTTTAAAAAAAAGAAGAGTCAGAGATAGAAAAAACACCATCATTTGTTCCAAATAACCAATTACTTGAAGAACAGTTTTGTCCATTCTATTTTCAATAACTGGGTGCGGGGGGGGGGGGGACAGTCACAACCCTTTCAATGCCTTCATATAGTAGGTTCTATCCACTCTTTTAGTATAGTTCTATTTCTGCTTTGTGAACTTTCACGAGTTTTATCAATAACAACAGAACATCTACTTTTCTAAGTTCAGTTACTTCAGTAAACGAATCAATGTCCTTATTCGTTTATGAACCATCTTCTAAAGTATTTCTTAATTTGTTAGCATCTTCAGCCCTACCCATTTGAAGAAAAAACTTCTTTTTACTTTATGTAATCAATTGTTTCCCGCGACAATTTTTTTTCCTTCATCTAAGTTTTTGGATTTAATTAAAAAATATACTATTTTTTATATATAATATAAAAAACTGCTACCTGAAATAATATATCTTCAAATATATAGGGTAAATTGTCAATTTTTAATATCTTTACTATAGAAGAAATTCCTTTCTGCAGATGTCTGATAATACTGCAGATGCCTGATCATATGGAAAATTGCAAAATCACTTTCACAATTTTCCATTTTTTTTAATAGGGAAAAATCACAAAAATAAAGGAAATAGAATTGCATCGCGAGAAAGACATTTGGTATTAAAAGTGGAAAATATATTTATTTAATATTACAACACCCAATTTTTTAATGCTGTTGTGAGGCTTCTTGTTCTTTGCACTAAAGGCACAAACCTACTTGCAGTTCTTAGAACCATAATCAAATGATCGGTCATCTTATCCACGGATACTTATAGTCAGCCTGAAAATGAATAGAGCTCTGAATAGGGTGGCCGCTTTGTCACAGTTAGCACGAGAGCTTGTTATGTTGTTTGAATAACGCAGGTTCTAAAATAATAAAATACTACTGTAGAAAATTCAAATAACTTAGTCTTCACTGTTTTTTCCAAAATTCTCTACTACATACGAGAGACTCATCATAATCTACTGAAAAACACACTATTTTGTATTATACCAGTAATACATTTTTCAATTTGTCATGGGCTTTTTTGAACTTTTAAACATTCAAATACCTGCCAACTTAGTATGTGTAAAAAATCAGAAAATTTTTTTAAACAATTTAGAAAAAAACAAAACACGAGTTTTAGAAGGAAAACTAGCAAATAGCTGAAGATTTTAAAACAATTATATAGGAAAAGCATTAATCATAAAAAATTAGATGTATGAAATTAGTTTTATGTAATTTTATGTAACCACAGAAGGCTTTTTTCTTTTACTAAGAAATCGAGAAACTCTGTTTTACAAAATTTAACATCTTGTATAAATTTCGGAATCAAGATATTGGAAAACTGCGAAAATGAAAGCAAAGATAATTTAAAACATACAAGACTGAATGTAAACCCTCATCAACATGAATCCCAACAGATCTGAAAATCAAGCGTTGATGTTAAAACAATTTGTGTTAAAAGAGAGCTCAAATTTCATTTTTGGAATACTTCTTCCTACACTTAGACACAGTATGTACAAGCGTAGTAAGTATCAGGGCTGTGGAGTCGGAATCGAAGTTAGGTAGCTTTTTGGGTAAAAGGAGTCGCTAAAAACACGTCGACTCCGGGCAAGTTTTGTTCGCCAGTTTGAATTTAAAATGAAATTAAAGTGAATTTTAAAAAAATTTAATAAACTGAGTTAATATTTTTATTTATGAACTATATACATTAATAAATAGTTATTTTCAATTTTATTGACATATTAATAAACATAAGGGAGCAGAATGGAAGTGATATTTGCCATTATTGATTGAACTGATTCATTTAGTTACAAATCTCATTGTTAAATTCAGGTAAGCAGCAACAGCAGCTAGAATTTCCAAAATTAATGACATTTATAGAAAGTGAGAAGGAAAAGAAGCTATTATTGATCAAGCAACGCAATGGAGAAGTACATATTTAATTATATGGTGGGTATTAGAATTAACTTTTTCAGAAGATGTAGAAAACCCTAATGTTTCACTAACAGAAAGATTGCGGAATGATCTTGCAGAATTGGAAACTTCTTTCATCACTGTATATAGCCACAAAAAAGTTACAATCTGAAGAAACAGGAAGTGAGAATGTTAGATGTAGATAACCCTAATATTCCACTAACAAAGACTGGAATGATTTTGCAGAATTAGAAACTCTTCTTTCTACACCATATACAACCACAATAAAGCTACAATCTGAATAATTAACAGGAGGCGAGAATGCGCGATGTTTGTTCTTTCTCAAACGGAGGGTTTACTGCAGAAGGAATCATTTCTTCAATGAAGAAAAGATAAACTAGTTTGCTAGACAATAAGATCTTGCTGGGTTCAATATATGTAGATCCGAAACACTGAATGTTCTTGGATGACAAACAAAAAGGCAAAGAAAGCCATCCATAAACTTTCATTAAGAATGAAATTATTCTCAGAACAATAACAGAATTCAAATCAGGACAGTCAAACTGCAGACACTGCATCTGAGTCTCTAGCATCCTCTTGCAGTGATGAATTAGATTTTGAGAAATATTTTTGGTTAATATTGAAAACCCAAAGCAAATGAAAATAAAGAACCAAGAGCCTTTAGATATAAAAATGAAAAATACAAACAAGATTTCTACATGGCCTTTGAAGAAATAGAGAAATATGATTGCGCTTGCAAGACACCTTTTTTAGAATTTATAAACATCTATCGCGAAAAGTTAAAAGGAATAGCCCTAACAATAACAGCTCTCCCTCCTACTCAAGTCAGTGTGGAAAGACTCTTCTCAGTTCTGAAGTTCATCAAATCGGATCTATGGTCCTCTAACAAAGAAGATCTTGCTGAAGTTTATACTGTTTCTTAAAATTTTTTAACTAATGTTTACTAATGCTGGTTTTTCCATTTCATAACAAATGCTAACTAATATAAAAAACTTGCTATGCATCAATTTTTTTCTGTAATACTTCTTTTATATTAAAAAAAAATAAGCTGTAACCCATATGTATATGTTTACATATATATGAAGGAGTCGGAGTCTAAAATTCCAGGAGCCGGAGTCGGTCATTTTCGCTACCGACTCCACAGCCCTGGTACATATGTTGTCACAGAAAACAGTACACTGGTACATTAGCTACGATGATCATTTTTCGGCGAAAAAAAAATCCTGTACATTTTGCTGTCACAGACAGAAATGAATATGCCTGTTATCTTCACTGCCAACTGTACTTATGGCTTCCATGGTGTTCGCCTTAAGTGAGTTTGTGTTAATGGCGTTTACTGTAACTTAATATTTTTCCAAAAACAAAATTTTAATATCCTGTTATTTTTCTGACATCATAACAACATTCGTATTCTTCCCATTAGCGGAATCCCACTACAGAACACTCTCTTCAGGGTGTCGCAAAGTAGTCTTCATGCCTCAAGTGCTGCGATTCCTACCCCTGCGACCAATGAAAAACTCCCAGGAAAAGGTTAATACTTGCTTTCTTTTCCTCTTGTCCAACAGTTTCACTTGTATAGATAATGCAGCACAGCACTTGTAAACTTGGATTAAATTGAGAAACTCTACTTAAAATTACCTGAAAATTTAACTTACGGTACAGGCACAAATCTTCAGGCAACCCTGCTAATAGGTAGCAACAGAAAGGAATGTTACTGGTAATCAATAGCAGCTACCTGTTTTTCTCCCACTTTGTTACTGAGAAGAATGCGGTAGGCTGAAATTTTCATATAAAGATCAAAACCTGTCAAGGGATTCACTACACAAGTTCCAAGAAATAGTCAGAAAGTGAATGAGACAAAAATGTCAAAATTAAAATTCCATAACAAATCTTTGAACAGAACAGGAAAATAGACAGACATTCACACAGGTTATACATTATAATTACAATAATACAATAAAACAATTACAGTGACCGTTGCTTATTAAAACCACTTCCATTTCAAGCATATTTCAGTTTATTCAGTGACTGAGTTAAATAAATGGTAATTTGTATATTGCAAATTGTGATATCAGTTTTAAATTTATCTAGTAAAATAATAAGTAACAATTAATCTAATAATGGGTTCTAAAATAATAATTAAAAATTGAAGCTAGAATTAAACTGCTTATGCAATTTTAGAATTTCATGCTGCTCTGTGAGGGGGGTTAAATGGATGAAGACTTCATGTCTTCAAAGGAAGGTGACAGAGAGGTTAGTGAAAATGAAAAAATTTCGATTGACAAATTAGTCGGTATTCTCGACACAGCAATTATAGGACTTGAACAGTGGAACTTTGTAACTGAACAAGAAATTATGACTGTTTATAGAATTAAAGAGAAAGTATTATCACATAAAACGAAGCAACTTAAACAACTTACATTGAAGGAATTGTTTAATAAAGTAAACAAATAAATATTAAGCTTTTTTTTTTGTTGCTGTTGTTGTAAATTTTGATACCCTTTAGATCATAATTGTTCTTTATTTCATAAATTATGGTTTCATATTTTTAATTTTAGAATTTCTGCATGCCATCTTACCAGATTTAAACTGATGATCTATAATCCGAAAAAATCGATAATCCGGAATCGCCGAAGTCCTGATGAGTCCAGATTAACGACTTTTGAATGTATTATTAACGTATGATAATGCTAGGAATTCCCCCCCAATTTTTTTTTTTTTTTTTTTTTTTTTTTTGAAATCTCAGTGTATATAATGAGCGTATTCCAAAGAGAGTAGTCTGAACATAGAAACCTTAGAGATGCAGAGGTTGCATTTCTACCTTCTATAAGCAAGTAATCAGGAAGGAACATGCATTCATTTATAATGCCACTATCAGTACACAGAAGATATTATTAGTCCAAAGGGATTTTGTCCCTGAAGGACTATTATTTTC